AATTTAATGAAACTTAATACTACTATAATAACAGCATGGCACATAAGATATGACTAACTTATCACATATGGTCATGTGGTCTTCTTAATATGCATAATATTACTACACCCAGATTCACAGACAATCTTTCATATGCCAAATTCTGTTAATTTTACAAGTCAAGTAAATACAATTCAACCTATCTACTTTTCGCTGATGACCCCCCCCCCCCCCCACTGAATCATTGTTTAAAATGGGTTAAATTCTTCTAACTTGTAAGATATGTCAACCCTTTCACCACCAGTTTCCTCTTTTCATCACAAATTCACAAAATAGGGACAATAATAGCCAAATTATGTTTGAGTTAAAACTGAAAATTAATTCAATATTTGTCTATTGGCTCCAAATTAGAGTTCATTTCTAGAAAAAAGTGCAGACAAATTTGGGCGAGAAGGTCTGGTGGTGTAAAGTTTAATCTATGTTCTTCAAAGTGATTTGAACGGAGATTCATATCTAATTTGTCATTACAGTACTACTATAGACCTATAGACATTTTCACATGTGCTAAATTCTCCTAACTAAGGTATGATAAGATGTACTTTTGTATTCACCCCCACAGGATTTGAACAGAGGTTAATGTCTGCCAACAAATCAAAGGCATGAGTAGGTAGTTTAAATTATATACAGTCAGGTCGGGTCATGTGATATTTAAGTAGATAGTCAGATTTTGAGATTACCAAGTAATATGCTAATGTCCCTACGGAATGATAGGATTTCTACAAACTTTGTGTCAGGAATTAGTCTCAATTCCCTTGATAGTCTGTCTCCTAATTCCTTGGATTGCTTCCTGTTTCTTATAATATTGGAAAAGTTATAAATTATGTATTGCATTTCTCGTTACTTACAAAGCTATTTTAATTCAGATAAAAACCAATGCAGTTCACTGATCAAAAAATACAGACACTGCAATGACGTGAGTAGAGAGGCCCAGACCAGGATATCCACGAGTACAGCTGACTTACAGCAATTGTTGTCATAAAAAACAAGCATTTGAAAGTAGTTGCTTGTTGCATGTCAATCATTATCTGTTAATTTATTTGTGTGAATGCTTGTCTGAATGCTTATATGAATGTTTAATCGCACATACATTATTAATAGTTCTATTTTTATGTAAATTTTTAACATTTTGTAAAATGAATTCAATAAAAATGTATACCCTGTTACTTGTTTTGCATCTACAACCTTTTATTATCTTGCCTGTATTGTAGATGAAGGGAAAGATGTATAGGGGGGGGGGGGGGGTCTGTCTTCGTTTTTTAGATCCGCTGTCGAGCAGAGCTTATCATATGAGTGATTGTCCATCGTCGTTCGTGTCAATGTTTGACTTTTTCGACTTCTTCTTGAAAACTACAAGCCTGAATGCTTTGATACTTGGTGTATATGTGCCTTGTGTAGACCTCTCTTAGATTTGTTCATTTCATGATGATATCTTCAATTCTCTAATTTTGGTAAATACTTTTGTCATTTTTGGTAAAATGTGATATTTTCGACATGTTAAAAATCGCAAATACAATTGCTTTGATATTATACATATAGGGTACTACATGTGGACCTCTCTTAGATTTGGACCTCTCTCAATTCTCTAATTTTGATGATTATTTTTGTCATTTTTGGTGAAAGTGATATTTTTGAATTCTTGTCCGGTTGCTTTGATACTATACATATTGTTCATTTTCTAATGATGTCTTCTGTTCTTTAATTGAAATGTGCATTGCTAACAGTGGAGCTATCTCAGCCGACAGGCTGCTTGTTAATTTTTTTGTGGTTCCAATTACAATATTTTATTAACCAGTTTGAAATCTCGGCCAAGTTGAATTTTAGCATGTGCATTTTTCAAGATACATGTATTTGGGAAATTTCATTTCAGATTGTCTTCTTTTTTCAACAATTTTCATCTAAATTTTTCATTCATATTTGAAAATTCATCAATCACCAAATATTGGCCAGTATTTGTTCCCATCCTATTAGATATATAGCTTGGATATATTGATGTACTTGTATTAATAATACATGTACCATAAAAACATTCAACCACATTAATATTACTGTTTTTGAAAACGGTCAAAATATTATCAGTGATAACAAAATCATACTAGTCTGTTAGAATAGCCAAATTTCAGAAATGTTTCATGGACAGAAAAATTGATTACGCTGAGTTTATAGCACTTACAAGAATTTTATTACATTAATAGATAAATTTGAACTATTTTTCAGAATTTGTTTTTTACTTAAAAAAATTGCTAAATTGGTTGAAGTACCATAACAAAAACATAATGCAGTTTTTCCAGTCATCATACATAAACTTTATTTACTGCACAATGATCTGATCGGCCTGTTTATGACATTCAACTCGTGGTGAATAAAACGCAACAGATCTCGGCTTCATACAGAATCAATCAAATGTCTTGATTGTTTGCGTATGATGTTTTTTTAGCTCCGCTGTCGACTTTGTCGAGCGGAGCTTATCATAT